CAATATTATACTATTAAAATTAAAAACAAAAGTAAAAGAATTAATAACAAAAGTAAAAGAAGATATAAAATTTAAATAATTTTATTTTTGCAGATCATTAACAGTTGCAGCAAGCAACGAAGAAGAAAAAGAGAGATGGATAGAAGATTTAAACATGGCTATAGTACAGATCGATGCATCGGATGCGAAAATGCCGTATTTAAGTTTAAAATCTTGTAGTAAGTAAAACTGTGTTAAATTAAACAATATAAACTTAAAATGTCTGTATTGAGTGAAAGAATATTTCATCGTAGCTTTCTTTTTTAATGAAAGAAGATCTTCTAAGATTTTTTTTAATGCAAAAGTTCTAGGTTCAGCCGATGAAGTGGGAGATGGTGTAGGATTAGAAGTAGATCGAACTAGTTGCGGAGGTGCGAAGGCCTCACAACGTAGCAATACTACAGTTCACGTTTGTTGGCATCGTAATACAAGTATTAGTTACAGTGATCAACTACGAGCGTTTCAAGTATGTTAAAGTTTCGAGTAATATTTGTTTCTCACTGATACCTTATCAATCATTATACGACTTACTTGGATATTTTACATAAAAACTGACATATTCATTACATGCATTGTTTCAGAACCAGCTTAGTGGATTTCTTCTACGGAAATTCAAGAATAGCAATGGTTGGCAAAAGCTTTGGGTTGTATTTACTAACTTCTGTTTATTCTTCTACAAATCTCATCAAGACGACTTCCCATTAGCTTGTTTGCCATTATTAGGATATGCTGTTTCTACACCATCAGAAAAAGATGGGATCAACAAGGACTTTGTATTTAAGTTACAATTCAAAAACCATGTATATTTCTTTCGAGCGGAAAGCGATTATACTTTTGGGAGGTGAATATACAGGATATTTTTATAATATTATAAAAAGCTAATATAATTGTAAAAAGCTAAAATTTAAAAGAAAAATACAATAATAACTTTATGTTTTCAGATGGATTGAAGTCATTCGAAGTGCAACTCAACAAAGTCATATGCCCACTAGTATGAATGGAAAAGAAGAGTATTAGAACTAAATCTACATGGATATATAATTACCGAAATAATTATTAAGATTAGAAAAGATTATAGATTATAGATTAGTTAAGATTATAGAATCCTGTTATAGAAGTATAGTTTCAAAATGATATACAACAAAAAAGTCTAAATTTTTGGCCTTATATACAAAATCAAAAGAGAGTCATAATTGGTGATATTTTAGATATTACATATAATATAAATTTTGATTGAGTATACAGTTTTCTGGAAGAACAACTTATCTTTAATTACATATTTTTTATTCTTAAGCTATTATTCTATTATTTTGCTAATAATATATTGCAAGCATTTACTTAAAACTAAAATATTTAATCATAATTTTGAAGTACTGTATTTTTTGACTTAAGTCATTCTTCCAAAGAACTCCACAATTTTGAAGACAATTAAAAATTGTTATGCCAATATATAAAAATATAATGACAATGATAGTATAGAAAATTATTTAGATTTTAAAAAATATAGAAAGATTTTTTGTATAAGTCACAAGACTTTTTGATACGTGATTTATACTTTTAATATAAAACTTTAAAATGGCATTTTATATATATATAATGCATATATACATAAGTAATAAGAATCTCAATATTATGTCACAAATTTATAAAGAATGTTATTCATAGAAAGAGAAAGAGATAGAATTATATATATATATAAATATGTAAATATAAAATTTGCACATATATCAAATGTATATTCGCGTTTATAGGAGTTTTTTAATAAAGCTTTTTTTATTTGTTCTTTATTGAGCAATAGTCGCGCGAACAAGTTACAATTAAATAGCACAGTAATATAATATTAAGTAATATATTTTTGAACATTTTCTCTTAAAGACAAAAGTTTTTGTCATATTAATTTACTCATTATATATAATTGATTGCTACTGCGCGATTATTATCCAATAAAAAACGGGTATAACGTTAAATCTAAGATATATTTACATTAATAGTGCGTTTTGAAAACGCATTCTGTTGTAATATGAGCGAAACTTAATGACAGTTACAAGAAATTATACATATTAGTATTAATATCGGACCAATTTTATAATCAAATCTATTTATAATGATTATCATTTTCAAATAAGACAATAATTTTGTTAACGTTTTTCTCTCTTATACTATCTAATTCATATTAACAAAATGAGTAGAATGGATAAATGTTTATGTTATGAATTGTAGCTCTAAGGAAATGCTTATGATTTTATAAGTTTTAGTAAATGGTGCCATTGCGCTTTTTAGAATCAATCTATGATATAGCTTTTGCACAAAGAGACTGCAAGAAATTTTTTTATAAGATGGCAATATATGTGCTATATAATTTATTTTTACTATCTCTTTGTGTTGCGCAGCTATTTAATTGACAAAATAATCCTTAAGATAATCTATCTAAATAATGAATCAAAGAGAGATGAATAATCATTAAGTTAATCGTTAAGCTTGCTTGATGTATTTAGACTATACAGAAATCTTTAAAAAATATGAGAATGTATTGATTTATTGAATTACGCTTTATTAGTCAGAAAACTTTTAATTTTGACATTTAAAAATATATCTTTCGGATTTGTTTGAGAAGGTTGTTTGTTGTATGATTTAAATTATAGTTTAATATATAACGGCAAAACAAAACAAAAAAAGAGAAAAAGAAAGAGAAAACGGGAAAGAATATACTACCCGGTTGAAAATCTGTGAGTGAAAGTTTAACCAACGCTTTATGAAGACATATCTATGTAGAAATTTACTTAAAATAAATTACCAATAGGTCCCTAGTACCTTTGTCTCGTTAAACATTAATGTACAATGCTTTCTGAGTGTTCAACAATCTAACAGATACGGTACATATTCGTAAATAAAATAAAAACAAACTCAAATATTAGTATATTAAAGCGTAGATATTTGCCTCATTTTAATCGCAAAGGATGCAATTCCAGAAGGACAGTTTTATATCTACAATGATGAGAAATTATGATAGTATAACATTTAAGTACAACAATGAGGTCGAAAATAGGAAAGACTAGAATACATTCTAATCAAATTAAAGTGCATTAGACAATTTACATAAATACGTAAGTTATAGTATACTAGTGTTTACCAAAACAAATGTATCCTTTATGTAGCAGGTATCCTCAAAGTAACTTTCCAATCTTGATAAATTACTTTTTGGCTAAAACTGTTGATCTCGATATCGAAATAACTTATAACTCTATTTCAGCTATTCACCCGCATCGTATATATTTCGAATACACATCTTTAAATTATTTCTTGCAACTAAGATAAACAAGCGAATATAACAAGTGAATGTCATAATTATGTACTATAATTATCATGTATTGCTGCAATAAACATATATCAATGCGATTACTCTCACATTTTTTTCTAGTTGATAATGATTGTTATTTTCTAGGAGATATTCGAAAGAGATAGAGGTTACGAAACAAATTGGCAAGTGTTTTATTATATGATTCTTATGGTTCTCATGGAATATACATGTACAATAAAGATGAAAGATGTGTCTGAAAAGTTCTCAGAAAAAAAATTCTAAAAAATCAATGAATGTAAATATCAACTTTTATTCATATAATGTCATTCTATTATAGTATTAAATAATATGTTTCATATATAATATATGTATATTTAAGTCATATATAATATATCATATATAATATAATTATACATATATAATGTTTTACATATGTATAATTAATTATAGAGGAATTAAAGTCACCGATACTGACATAGGTCTCCTAACATCCCCTTATTTCTTAAAAACTAACCTTTGTCATTTTAAATATTTATAGTTTCGTAAATTAGTTTTCTTTACAGAATAGGATATATCTTTATTTATAGAATAGGAATGTTGGCATTATTGCCTACTATGTCAG